CACCTTATAATATTATATATGGATCGATTTGGTATGAAATGCTGTACAATTTTTGTCCTTACAAAAACTTACAAATTTTGCAAAGGTAATGAGTAGGAGGGGAGGGGTTCAAAAATTTAATGTTTTTGAAAAAATCTAATATATTGTTTCAAAGAGCGTTAAATACTGTACAACTTTTGTAGGAAACATTTTTTCATATACCTTATATTTTAGGAAATATTCAATAAAAATGGAAGAATCATTTTTTTTCAAAGGGCTGTTTCAACCCCTAAACTCAATATATGGCCGATAAAAAAAATACGTGTTGACTACTTTTTGATGCTCTACAACATATCCAAAGCGCATCAAAATCGGGAGGGGGGGGGGAGGACAGTTCCGCAACTTTCCTTGTAAGTCTCACGGGGACTTAGGCGCGAGTTACACTCGCGCGTGGAGTCGTGTATGCGACGGGTATAGCTTCAGTGTCGATGAAGAAACGAACGTGGTTCGCGTAAGTGCTGCGGCCCAGGCAGCCACTAAGTGAAGGCGAGCGTATGTCGCGTGTATATGCTGCGTCTCTGGCAGCGTCTAAGTCCTGTGCGGACGTGAAGGCGAGCGTGGCTCGCGTGTATATGCTGCGTCCCTGGCAGCGACTAAGTTCTGTGCGGACGTGAAGGCGAGCTTGGCTCGCGTGTATATGCTGCGCCCCTGGCAGCAGAGGTTCAAGAGGAATCTACAACTCGCGCGGAGTCGTGAGCCCGACAGTACAGCGTGCTGTCGTCCTGATACACGCTGTCTGCAATATTGGAGATGTCGCGAAGAGAGACGTCCGTCGGTGGATGGGTCAAGGTAATCCGAAGGGTCGCGCGAGGCCTTCTCTCAATTCTCGATCGTATTGAGAAGGTGGAGATCCGTGGAGATCCGTGGAGTTACAATACACTTCGTAACGCAAATGCCAACGTGTCCTCGGACACTCTGGAGGCGATAGCCCAACGTGCAAGCGCACTCTAAAGGGCTGCGGAGACCTAAACCTGAATGCCAACGTGTCTATGACACTCTGAAGGCAGCGATGATAAATGCAGATATGCACACGTATACCTCTGGCGAGGCAAGTGCCCAACGTGCTTACGCACTCAACAAGGCAATATGAAGCTAAATAGAGTACAAAAGAATATCTCAGCGAGGCAGTGACCAGATGCGCTAACGCAGTCAAAAGGCTTAGAGCAGTCGCCCGCGGCGTCTTATATAGGCGCCGCACCGAAATTAACTGCGAGCGACGGCCCCGGCTCGGCGCGCTGCCGCGTAATGGCGACGGAGTGAAGCTGTGGCGAGCAGCAGTCGCCCGCGAGCGGAACGCGCCTGGCGCACGGCCGCCCGCTATCCGTGCGGACAACAGCTCCCGTACGGAATAGACGCAAAAACATAACCTATATGTGTATACATAAGTTATTTTAAGTATTAATTATTATAATCTAAAACTATGATTTTAAACTAAAGTTACATTTTAATGAATGTTTTTTTATACTAAATTTCAAAATATTTATATACATTTTTACTTACTATATTGTTCATTATAAATATGTATATTTACAAAGTGCTATAAGATACTTTTCCTCAATAGTATGTATGTC